TCCCCATCCCTTCTGGGCACACTGTGCTCCTGTCCCCCACCCTGCTCCCCATCCCTTCTGGTCACACTGCACCTGTGTCTCTCACCCCGCTCTCCTCTAACCCCTCTCCCCATCTCTTCTGGGCACACTGTGCTCATGTCCCTCACCCTGCTCTCCCCTAATTCTTCTCCCCATCCCTTCTGGACACACTGTGCTTGTGTCCCCCCCACCCTGCTCCCCATCCCTTCTGGGCACACCATACTCGTGTCCCCCACCCTGCTCTCCCCTAACCCCTCTCCCCATCCCTTCTGGGCACACCGTGCTCCTGTCCCTAACCCCTCTCCCCATCCCTTCTGGGCACACCGTGCTCCTGTCCCTAACCCCTCTCCCCATCCCTTCTGGGCACACTGTGCTCCTGTCCCCCACCCTGCTCTCCCCTAACCCCTCTCCCCATCCCTTCCCCGCGCAGCGTCCCCGCCGGCGCCGTGCAGCCCTTCCACGGGATGCTGGACCGCGTCCCCAGCGAGCCGTCCTACCGGGCCCCTCTGGAGAAGCTCTTCTTCCTGCCCCACGTGTGCAGCTACGCCTGCCTGTCCCGCGTGCGGCCCATCCGCGCCGACCAGTACCGCAGCCGCAACCCGCTGCTCATCCCGCTGCTCTACGACTTCCGCCGCATGACGGCGCGGCGCCGCGTCAACCGCAAGATGGGCTTCCACGTGCTCTACAAGACGCCCTGCGGGCTGTGCCTGCGCTCCATGCAGGAGATCGAGCGCTACCTCTTCGAGACGGACTGCGACTTCCTGTTCCTGGAGATGTTCTGCCTCGACCCCTACGTGCTGGTGGACCGCAAGTTCCAGCCCTACAAGCCCTACTACTACATCGCCGACATCACCAAGGGCAGGGAGGACGTGCCGCTGTCCTGCGTCAACGAGATCGACAGCACGCCGCCCCCGCAGGTGGCCTACAGCAAGGAGAGGATCCCCGGCAAGGGGGTCTTCATCAACACCAGCTGGGAGTTCCTCGTGGGCTGCGACTGCAGGGACGGCTGCAGGGACAAGTAGGTGGCTCCTCGTGGCTGAGGGGGGGGTGTGCTGGGACTCTGTGACCTGCCCGGGAGCACCCCGAGGTGGATCTGCTCTGGGAGTTAAATCCGTGCAGCTCAGGTTTCGTGGAATCACGGAGTGGTTTGGGTTGGGAGGGACATTAAAGATCGTCCAGTCCCACCCTACGTCACGGGCAAGGACACCTTCCTCTATCCCAGGTTGCTCCAAGCCCCATCCAACCTGGCCTTGACCACTTCCCAGGATGAGGAATCCACAGCTTGTCTTGGTTTGATTCCAGGTCAAGCCCTGCGTGCTCATCTCTGCCTAAAGATGGGATATCTTTCCCTGTCTCCAGAAGTGATGTGGAAGCTGTGACCTGTGGTTTCTCCCGTGTCTCCCTGCAGGTCCAAGTGTGCCTGTCAGCAGTTGACGATCCAGGCGAGCGGCTGCACCCCTGGGGGGCAGATCAACCCCAACTCGGGCTACCAGTACAAGCGGCTGGAGGAATGTCTGCCCACGGGGTGAGCAGAGCCAGGGCCTCCTGCCCGCCCAGGTGCCAACCCCAGCTGCCATCAGAGAGGGAATTTATCCCAGAGATCGGCACAGATGTGACAGCCTGCCTCTGGTCTTGGTTCTTGTGCTGGTCACGGAATGGTTTGGGTTGAAAGGGACCTTTTAAAGATCATTGAGACCATGAGCAGAGACACCTTCCACTAGACCAGGTTGCTCCAAGCCTGGTCCTCTGGGCTCTCTGTGCGTGACCCCAGCGCTGCCAACCTCACCAACCTCTGGGATGTTCCTTTACCCTGGAATTTGTCACCCTTCTCCTTTCTTCCAGCGTTTACGAGTGCAACAAGAGGTGCAAGTGCAACGTGAACATGTGCACCAACCGCCTGGTCCAGCACGGCCTCCAGGTCCGGCTGCAGCTCTTCAAGACCCAGAACAAAGGTTGGGGCATCCGCTGCCTCGATGACATCGCCAAGGGCTCCTTCGTCTGCATCTACGCAGGTGGGAACTCACCTGGCACGTGGGAACCTCTTCCCTCGGAAAAGGGTGTGGTCAGAGGCGGGAGCGGAGCTGGGGAAGGGGCTGGAGCAGCAGGAGAAGGGGCTGGAGAGCTCCTGAGGGAGTTGGGAGGGCTCAGCCTGCAGAAAAGGAGGCTCAGGGGGGACCTTCTGGCTCTCTGCAACTCCCTGACAGGAGGGGGGAGCTGGAGGGGGTCGGGATCTTCTCCCAGGGAACAAGGGACAAGATGAGAGAAAATGGCCTCAAGTTGTGCCAGGGGAGGGTCAGGTTGGATATTCAGGGAAGTTTCTTCATGGAAGGGGTGGTCAGGCCCTGGCCCAGGCTGCCCAGTGAGTTGGTGGAGTCCCTGTCCCTGGAAGTGATCAGAGCCCTGTGGATGTGGCACGTGGGGACGTGGTTCACTGGTGGCCTTGGCAGTGCTGAGGGGATGGTTGGCTCGATCTTGGAGGCTTTTCCAACCTGCACGATTCCCTGATTCCAAAGCCCAGCAGAAGGGCTGTGAAGCTCTTGCTGTGCCCGTTTCAGGGGCAGGAAGGTGAAAGCTGAGCAGGTGAACTTGCCCAGCGCTGGCACAGGGCACTGCAGAGCCCTCGGGGTGGCAGTGCCGGTGTCACAGGACACGCTGGGCCCCTGAGCTGTCCCTGGGGTGACCCAGCCCCGGCCCAGCCCTGCTTCCTCCTCCCAGCAGAGCCCCTGAAATGCAGAAGTTGCGCAGGGTTGGTGTTGGCTCTGAAATGAAGCCGCCCACGGGCACGGCCGGAGCTGCTGCTGCCCTGATTCCGTGGCTGTGGAGTTCCCTCTCTGCTCCACCGGCCCCTCCAGCCCTTCTGAGGCTCCACTGGAGCTGCTCTGTAGAGATTTCTGGGGTGAAAACCTTGATTTTCGGTCAACCACACGCCTCAGGCTTTTGTCCTGTCGGTTATCAGGGCTACATTGTCCTTTCCCCAGCCCAGCTTTGGAGTGAGGCGACATCATTCCTGTTTTCTCCTCAGCGAGCTTTGGAGAGGATGAAGATGAGCTCCCAGGGAATTGCCATCCCGGGAAAACTCACCCCGACTTTCCTGTCGCCCTTAGGGAAGATCCTCACGGACGACTTCGCCGACAAAGAGGGGCTGGAGATGGGGGACGAGTACTTCGCCAACCTGGACCACATCGAGAGCGTGGAGAACTTCAAGGAGGGCTACGAGAGCGACGCCAAGTGCTCCTCGGACAACAGCGGCGTGGACCTGAAGGACGACGACGACGAGGAGAACACGGGCACGGAGGAGCCCGAGGAGTCCAACGAGGACAGCTCCGACGACAACTTCGGCAAGGACGAGAACTTCCACGCGAGCTCGGTGCTGCGCAGCTACGCCACGCGCCGGCAGACGCGCGGCCAGAGGGACGGCGGCCTCTCGGAAACGGCCTCCAAGGACTCGGGGCTCACCCGGCCCCTCGGCCACGACGAGGCCCTGGCGGCCCCCTGCAAGCTGCCCGTGTCGGAGGAGAGCTCCAAGAACAAGGTGGCCTCGTGGCTGAGCTCCAACAGCATGGCCGAGGGCTTCCAGGACGGCGACAGCAGCTCGTCCTTCCGCGAGGCGGGAGAAACCAAACCTGTGAAAGTGGAGAACCCCGGGGAGAGGGAGAAGGGATGTGTTCCCACCCCGGGAGAGATGAACAGAGAGATGAAGGCAGCCAAGAAGGAGGTGAGGGAGGGACGTGGGAGTGAGAGAGGCAAAGGGCACCGAGGAATGATGGAAGGGAGAGAGGTGGGAATGGGAGATCCTGCCTGGGAGGCCTGGATGAGGAGACACAGAGGTGTGGGAGTGGGAGATCCTGCCTGGGAGGCCTGGATGAGGAGATAGAGGGATGTGCTCAGGTACAGGGGGACTGTGGGGCTGTTGGATGTTCCCGTGTCCAGCTTCCCTGGCTCCTGTGCTGGGACAGGGAGGTGCTTTTCCCCTGCCAGGAAGAGAATTTGTGGCACAAGAGGCCATGGAAGTCCCTTGATGTGAGCAGAGCTGAATGTCCTCCGTCTGGGGAGCGGGGAACAGGGACAACAGGGACATGGAGGGTTCTGTGCCCACCCCCTGCTCCAGGGAGGGGAGGATCCCCCTGGATGGGGCAGGCACACCAGGAATCCCCCCGTGTGGGGCATGAGAAGAGACCTGTGGGCACCCCTGGGCTGGGTGTCCCTGGCTGTCACCCTGAGCGTGGAGACAGGGCCTGTCTCACTCCCAGGCTGGCATTTTGGGGAGCAGTTCCATAGAAAGGCAGGAGAGAACTCCAAAAGGGAGAGATTTTAATCTTCTCTCCTCCTCCCCCCCCTGCAGGAACCTGAAGAGCCAACCAAAATTACGGGGTAAGATTCCTGAACCGCTGTTCTCCTGTCCCTGCCTGGCCTGTGGACGCTCCCCACGGAAGCCCAGGCGTGACCCCTTGTTGTCCTGGCCCCACAGGCTGAGCATCCCTGGCAGGAGGTACGGGTACAACCCCTGCCCCCCGAAGCTGGAGGGGATCCGGCGGCCCCTGAGCCGCACGGCGCTGCTGCAGAGCCGGCGCCGCTCCCTCTCCCTGCAGGCCTCCAGTGAGGTAAGGGGGACCCCCGGGCTGGGAGAGGGACCCCAGGGCTGGGAGAGGGACCCCCGGGCTGGGAGAGGGACCCCAGGGCTGGGAGAGGGCCCCCCAGCCTGGGAGAGGGCCCCCTGGGCTGGGAGAGGGATCCCCGGGCTGGGAGAGGGACCTGGCTCTGCCCCTTCCCCCCGGAACCGGCTCCGTGACGACCCCGAACCTCAGTTTGGGTGGTTTTCTTGTTGTTTCTGTTCCCGGCTTTGTGGTTGTCCCTGAAATTTCCTGGGGGGCAGTTGGTGTCCTTTGGATTGTGGGGAGTGTTTCTTGGATCTGAAACCCCCCCCAAAAAAAGAGAGTGTGGAATTTGGGCTCTGTTCCAGTGGGATGGAGCACCTTGGTTTGCACACCTGGCAGAGCCACCTGGGGACAATCCTTGTTTTTAGGGGTCTTCTCCCTTCTTTTCAAATCCCAGAGCACCGAATGCTCCAGGATCCCAAGCTCTGGCATTTTGGGTGCTGCAGAACTCCCCAGCCCCCCAAAATCCCACGGCTGTTCCAAACACTGACCTGTGGGATGGGGTGCCCGTCCCGCTGTATTCCCATCGCGATGTCCACGGGTGGGATCCCCTTCCAAAGGATGTCCTGGAGCACGGGGGGGTGTGTGTGCTGGGTAAGAGAGCTCAGTGTTCCTGGGGAAAAGGGAGGCTTGGATGTGGCTCAGGAGCTGTTCCTGCCCTCAGGACGTGCTGACACTGTCGAGCAGCACCGACAGTGACGTTGAGAACGGGCAGGTCCTGGCGGGGCAGGTCCCGGGCACCGCCAACGACAGCGACGACATCCAGACCATCTCCTCGGGCTCTGAGGAGGAGGAGGGCGAGGACAAGAAAAACCTCTCGTCTGGGTCAGGTGAGGGGGAAGACGAGGGCTGAGGATGGGGAGTTTTGGCTGGAGAGCACCGGGAAGGGCTCGCGAGGCCACGGCAGCGCCGAGCGCGGCGCGTCTGCTCCTGCTGCACCCGACGGCCCAGGCCGGACCTTCCCCGCGGGGTTTTAGAGACAAAACTGCAAAATCTCGCCCTCAAGCCCAGGTTTTTTTGGGGGATCGTGAGAAAAAGCAACTGTGAGGCTCCTGGTGGGTGTGAGGCCGGGCTGGGCGGATTCCAGGAGCCGTCCCGGGGCGGTGTCCCGGATGTGAGGCGCATCCCCGCCGGGGTTCGTTACCCCTGAGTGGAGCGGGAAGGGGGGGGATGAGCAGGGCTGGGGGTTCCTCCTCTGGCAGCTGCCCTGTCGTGGCAGGTCCCGTGAAGAGGCAGGTGGCTGTGAAATCCACCCGGGGCTTCGCCCTGAAAACCACCCACGGCATCGCCATCAAATCCACCCCGCTGGCCGCGGGCGACAAGGGCGAGAGCGCGGGGCCCGTGCGCCGGAGCACCCGGCAGTTCTACGACGGGGAGGAGAACTGCTACATCATCGATGCCAAGCTCGAGGGCAACCTGGGCCGCTACCTCAACGTGAGCTGGGCACGGGCAAGGGGGGGCAGGGGCCTCAGCGGGGCTGTGCCCGCTCTGAAGAACAGGGAAAGGGCAGGGGGAGGAGGCTGATCCACCCTCCTGAGCGGAGCAGAGCGGCTGCTCCGGCCCCGTTACCTGTGAGGGGGGGTGTTACCTGTGAGGGTGAGTGTTACCCGTGAGGGTGAGTGTTACCTGTGAGGGTGGGTGTTACCCCTGTGAGGGTGGGTGTTACCTGTGAGGGGGGGTGTTACCTGTGAGGGTGGGTGTTACCCCTGTGAGGGTGAGTGTTACCTGTGAGGGCCCCGTTACCTGTGAGGG